GCCCTTCAATCTGCCTTTCCCGGCTCCCCGCCGCCCCTCACGGCTCCGGCTCCGAGTGAGCAGCGGCCGAGCTCTGCTCCTGCGGTGTGTCCGTGCTCCCGTGCGGGGAATAAACACAGAACTGGGCGTTAAACCCGCTGGCGAGCACTGCTCCAGACCAGGGAGCTGTTCTAGAGATACTTGTCCTTTAGGGCACTGAATTAATTAATGCAGCTTTTCCAGAGAGGTTTTGTGTTAATGAAGTCACGCAGGAACTAAACAGCCTCGCTGTCTGTGAGAGCTGTGCAGGTAAAAGTCAGTCATGGAGTCCCGGAGTGGTTTGGGCTGGAAGGAGCCTCAAAGCTCATCCAGTCCCATCTCCTGTCCCGTGCAGGGACATTTTCCTCCATCCCAGGCTGCTCCGAGCCCCGTCCAGCCTCGCCTGGGACACTTCAGGGATCCAGGGGCAGCCACGGCTGCTCTGGGGATTCTATTCTAGGGCCTCCCCACCCTCCCAGCCAGGAATTCCCAATCTCCCATCCATCCCTGCCCTCTGGCACTGGGAGCCATTCCCTGTGTCCTGTCCCTCCATCCCTGTCCCCAGTCCCTCTCCAGCTCTCCTGGAGCCCCTTCAGGCCCTGCCAGGGGCTCTGAGCTCTCCCTGGAGCCTTCTCGTCTCCAGGAGAACATTCCCAGCTCTCCCAGCCTGGCTCCAGAGCAGAGGGGCTCCAGCCCTGGAGCAGCTCCAGGTCTGTTTTCCATCTGTCCATCCATTCCCCAGCCTTTGCTGATTCTGGGGGTTGTCCTGACCCAGGTGCAGCAACTTGCACTTGGCCTTGTTGAACCTCATGAGGTTCCCATGGACCCACTTTGTCCCTCTGGGTGCCCCATCCTTCCCTTTGGCATGTGACCACACCACCAGCTCGGTGTCATCAGTAATTATTAATAAATTATCCATGTGCTGCATGTTACTCCATGTTTTTCCTGACAGTTATGAGCTTAGGTGAAAAAAGCAAGTTTGGGGTGATCATTTATTTTATAAGTCTGAGTTTCCTATTTTGTCTCCAGTTTCCCCCCATTCCCTACTACCAGCTTGTGATGGGAACAGGGCAGGTTTCTCCTTGATCTGGAAGGTACTTCTGGGGTCATTCCTTGTCAGGCTGGCTGGAGTGGGGCAGTGCTGCTCTGACGGGAGTCAGTACTGAGGGGAATTTGGGATGGTGCCCTTGAGGCTCAGAGCAGCTCTGGGGGGGTGTTAGTAAAGGGTGGTCTGGATGTGCAAAGGCCCAAAGTGGTGCCCGTGGGTTGCTGTTGGGTTTTTGGTGCACATGGAACACTAAGGGGGAAGTGTTTGGTGGGGTTTGTGCTGTGGGGAGGACACGTTGGTGGTGGAGCTGTGGGATGAGCGGGAATGAGGGCATCCACGAGCTTGGTTCTGAGGCAGGGAGCTCACCTTGGTGTGAGCAGGAAATTCCACAGAGCAAAATCCCAAGGTTTGGCCTCAGGATCCTGGGTTTGGACTTGGCAGCCGGAGCAGGAGCCGAGCAGGGCTCTGTGTGAGGAATTCCCTTGGGCTGAGTTGGGCGTTCCCATCCCACCACAGGCTGTGGGCTCCCCTCTGTCCGGGTGTCACTGCAGGGTGGCTGCCTGCCCAGGGAGCGCTGTTCCAATGCTGGAGTGAGGAATGACCTCCTGCAGCACTCAGGGTACTAAATGTGCTTTATTCTGCTAGTAAATGATGAGCAGTGTGTGTGCAGGTGCCCCTCAGCGGTCCCTGTGCAGAGCCAGTCCCTGCAGTGTGCTGGGGTACCCGGCCGGGCCGAGTCCCGCTGTGGGACAGTGCCAGCCCTCTGCTGGCCTCACCCTCCTTGTGCCGATTTCCGCAGCTCCACAGCCGGGCCCTGCCGCTTCCCGAGCTGACAGGAGCTGTCCCCGCGGGCTGCTGGGCGCAGGGAGCTGCTGTGGGTGTGCCTGCTGTGTCACCCTGCGCTTGTGACAGCCGCTGCTGCCCCGCCGAGGCATTCTGGCACTTCTGACAGGCAGCTGCAGCCTCTCCCTCAGCCTGCAGGTGCTGAGCGTGAGGGCACAGCATGGGCAGAACGGGCTGGGGCTCGTGGGGAAGGTGCTGCAGGAAGGCTTTGCCTTTGCAATGGTGCTGTGTGCTCAGAGTGACAAACCCCGCGGTGCCACCCCTTGGGAGCCAGCTGTGCTGGCAGGGAGGGCACACGGGGAGTGCTCAGCCTGCTCTTCTGGGGGCTCTGGTGGGGAGCAGGGGAGCAGGAGGGGTCAGAATTGCAGAAGATAAACCCTGAACGTCTGGGTTTGTGCTCTTTGAGCACAGCTCTCCTCCATGGAGGGCACATCTTGGGGCAGTGTCCCTGTCACTGCAGTGTGTTATCCCATTGAGGCAAAACCCTTTTTGAGGGAAGAGCTCTAACTCCAGCTCTCACTTCCCTGCCCTGGCCTCTGCTCTGCCTTCCCTGCAGTCATGTTCAATGTTTGCTGTTCCATTCTCTCCGCTTTAGGCTTTAGGCACCGGGGAGTTTGTTCTGATGGATGCCTTGGGAATTGCCTGTGTGGAGATGGCTCCTTGCTGTGAAAAGCTTCTTCTGTTCCTGGGAGTAGAAAAACCTCCCACTTTGATAAGTTCTTTGTGTTTCCAAGCAGCTCATCTATGATTTGTATTGATTAAAGAAACATCCTGCCTAAGATTTTAATGGAAACAAACACCTTGATGAGGCTGGGGCTGATAATGAGTGTGCACTAATGAACAGAATTAATTTCCTGACTGATCAAAACAGGGTTTATACCTTGTGCTGAGAGCCCTGCTGCACTACAGAATTTAGGTGCCAAGGTTTTCTGCCTTGAGGGTAGCATGTTGGAAGTGAACCTGGAGAGAAGGACAGGGAGGGCTGTTTGGGCACAGGAGGAGCAGCAGCTCCAGGAGTGCTGGCATTTGAACACACTGGCAGTGCTGGCTGTGGCACGGGCAGAATGGGCTGGGCATGCAGTGAGTGAGTGAGTGAGTGGCTGTTGTTCCCCTGCCACTGGGAGAAGAAAGATGCCAGTGAATTGGGGGAGAGGGACACAAAGCTGGGAGGTGGAACCTGCCCAGAACCCCCTGGGTGGTGTCCAGCACCAGAGGCTCTGCGTGGTGGCACTGGGAGCGCCGTGCTGCACGTCCAGGGAGGGGGTGGCACCTGCAGGGCACAGACCTGGGGGTGCAGCTGGCTCACAGTTGAGCACAAGGGTTTTTAGCTGGTGGACATGTGGGGCCGTGGTTC